ATTAAAGCTTCATTTCAATCCTAAAATATAAAGCCCAACGCTTAGATTAAGTTGGGACACTTCCGGATGGTTCTGGAATCTCAAAGTGTCCCCTACCTCTCCTTCCTTAACTCTATCAATAGCTGCTCAATTTTGATCCATTCCCTTTTGAGTTTCCAAAATTCACCTCTCTTTTTGGTATCACTCCTAGAAAATCTAACAAAATTTCACAACCATTTTAATCGGGAGGTTTCGTAAGAGACTCTATCTACCTATTCAATAGCTGCTCAATTTTGATCCATTCCCTTTTGAGTTTCCAAAATTCACCTCTCTTTTTGGTATCACTCCTAGAAAATCTAACAAAATTTCACCACCATTTTAATCGGGAGTTTTCGTAAGAGACTCTATCTACCTATGATATAATTAACTACGAGGGCTTGCGCTCGTAGGAGATTTGGAACCACACACGGACCTGATTTTAAAGTTGATTTTCCAAAACCTTATTAGATTTCTTTGGGGAAAAGATAAAGAAATGACTGTCGTTATTACATTATGAGGATTATCATTGAATGGTGTTATCTCCCTTCGGGGAGATACATCCTTTTTTTTATAAGACTTTGGATGTCAATTCGACGGCCATACTTCTTGAATATCATAATTAAATATTTAGTTGAATTTCATTCTGTTCCCTCAGGGCCATAAGAAATTTTTCTTTAGAATCCGATCATGATGTTCAAGATGAGTTCTATAATTTTAAGCCTGAACGTCGCCATGAAATTTTATTTTCATCCTTCGGGGTGATATAACTTTTTCTAACGGGTTGATTCGACCTTAGAATTATAATTAAATCTCAATTTTAAAATCCCCAAAGAAAACTAATATTTTTTAAAAACCTATTTTCAAAATTCCACCAATAGGATTATGATTTTGATGATAGCAAACAAATCTTGTTTCACTACGACTGACTTTTTTCTACTGATTCAGGACTCAAAGATCGGTCAAAAATCAGAATCAGCTCAAGACTGGGTAGATTAGGATTGAGTAAGTCTATAATTTCTTTTTTCTTTCTTGAGTCAATTGCATTTATTTGAAGTGATTAATGTTAAGTAACCCTACACACATACACACACTTGAGAGATTTAGAACTTATATTTTTACTCACATCGTCCAGGATGATATTTATATCGTCCTGCACGATCGAGCTCAAAATAGAAGATCTAATCTGGATTTCTTAGTTAAGGTAGCCGTAATTAACCGATCGGCCTGGACGATACCTGTATCGGCCATGACGATATGCTCAATACAGAAAGAATTTGCCGCCATGATCAGTTTAGGTATTCTGTATTTTTGGAAATTGGCCAGGAGGATCATGGTATCGGCCTGGATGATATCACATAATTATGCCTAAATTGATCCAGCAATCAAGGAAGTAATTAAGGATGATTGATACGATCACATCGTCCTGGATGATTGCAGGATTGGCTAGGACGATTTATTCAAAAACCCTTAGTTGCTTCTGGACGATGAATATCGGCCAGATCAAAATTAGGGCGATGCTCTGGACAATTTTCCTCTGATTTGAACTGATCGGCCAAGATGATCGTGAGACCGTCCGGGATGATCAAACAAATGTTTAATTGTCCAATTTTCATTCAGGGCGATGCTTTATCTGATCCTATGAGATTTGTACTGATCGGCCAGGACGATTTAAATATCATCCTGGACAATAAAGTGGGAAAGTTGTAATTAATGTGCCCCTTTGAAGCTCTTCTATTTAAGAGCTCTTGTTCAACATTTTTGAACATCCTTGGCTGTTATCTTGACCTGAGAAAACCTAAAGAAGAGAGAGAGAGAGAGGAAGAGAGAGAGAGGATCTTGTGAGGAGGAGCTTGTGAGGGGATTCATAAGGGTTTCTCCAAGCATTATTCCACTTCTTCTTCCCTAGAGTCTCTTATCCTTGGAAGGGTTGGGAGAGGTAAGTTTCAGCAAGTGATCGTGGTTCTTTGCCTGCTTCAGGAGGAAGCAAAAGGAGTTGGGTTCTCTGCCTTGCCGGATGTGGCAAAAAGGAGGTGTTTTTTATGAGGGCTTCTCCGCCTAGCTGTGGGGGCTAAAGGAGAGTCACATTGGTAGTGCAATACTCGAAGGGCACCTCCGAGGAGTGGATGTAGGTTGAGTTGACCGAACCACTATAAATTCTTGTGTTCTTGTTTTTACTGCTTCGGAATTTATTTTCTTCCGCACTTATTTTTGTGGTGATTTGGTTTGTGATAATCGTTCTTTTTTCTTAAAGAAATTTTTAAATACCAATTCAACCCCCCCCCCTCTCGGTTAGCCTCGGGACAGTTCTATAGGGGTTAACATCCCTAACGAACTTTCAGAAACACCCTTTATTGAATAGACACTAGAAAAAAGGATATAACATAACTAAATGTAAAATATTTAAATAGTTTTTTCTGTATATTGAAATCAGAAGACTATATATATGTTTCTACTTATAAAATTGGAAAATAAATCTAGGATAAACTTTATATAACTTATGAAGGGACAAATGAGGTTAAACATTCTAGGTTGAAAATTTTATTACACGACTACAAACTATTTTGCATGAAACTGAATGAGTCAATTTTTTAAATGTGTACACATTTTACTAAGATTGTTACCTCATTGTATGCTTTAGGTAGAGAACTAACTAATTCAAAGAAGGTTAATAAAATCTTATATTGTTTACCTAGTAGCTTATGATGCAAAAATAACTATCATAACGGAGTCAAAAGATCTGAATGTATATTCAATTGATAATTTTCTTGGATCACGAATTGCTTACAGACAAGGAGTGAATCAATGACAGAATGATGCAGGTGACAAGCAAAAAGAGAAGAATATTTCTTTGAAAGTGGATGATTCTGAAAGTGATCAATTAACACATGAGGACGAAGAAGATATTGCACTAATGACTAGGCAGTTCAAAAGTATCTTTAGAAGAAAGTAATGGAGACATCAGCATTAGAACAAAGGTAAGTTCAATAAGAATGCAAAAGTTTCTAATAAAGTTATTTATTATGAATACAGGAAGCTTGGACACATAAACATAGATTACCGAAATCTCAAAGATGATCCTAGCAATAAGAAAGTATCCTTAATTCTTATGGCACCATTAGGATATATTCTAATGGTAGTAAAAGGGTCATTCCATCCATATTTAAGTTTCACATGATAATATTTTTTCTTATAATTAAAGAATAAACATCTTGATTAGGAGAAAATTCAATATTTAGAACTTTATATACATTAAACTTCTTCATTTTTGTAATTTAGATTTTTTAATCTTCATAAACTTCATTTTTAAATTCAAGAAGTTTATCAACTATAACAGAACTCTAGATGTTTAGAATAAAGAAGGAATCTTTATTCTTTAAGAGTACTTTACTTATTTTTGAAGATGAATACTTTCATTTCTTTTTGCCCATTATTTTAATATCCAAGAAAAGAAAACAGCCACATGAAAATACTACATTCAAGAAGGAGTGATGTGGATAGAAAATCAAGCATTAAACTTTTTCTTTTTATAAATTTAACATACGCAAAGCGCCAAAAATTAAACCGTTGGGGCACAGCCAAGTATAGTGGCGCTATAAGTAGAACTACGTCACCCCTTTTATTCTCTCAAAATTTTTTAACGAATGCTCACAATTGATGAATCTAATCTACCAAACAAACTAAAATTAAAAATTGAGAAGTTTTCCATACAATGTTAAGTTCATTGTCTTTAGCTAGACTTGCCTAAATTTATTAATTTGGCTAAGATATATTGCTATAAAACTACAAAAGATTTTTACTTGGATCTTTTTTCTTTGTCCTTTGGGTTAACTTCAATATTTTTATGCAATGATCCAAGAGGTTTACTACTGACATAAATTGCAAGTTGACTTAATTGGATTTCTAAATTTTTAATTTAAGTAGCTTAATTTTGTAATAGAGTCCCTAATTGTATCACAACATCTTCCAATGGTGATGTTTTACCTCTAAATTGATTGATTTGATTAAATTCTGAAGGATATACAATTCTAAGATTAATAATAGATTGCTGAGAATTATTCCTATTTTGCTCATTAATTATTTTGGCTAGAACTTCATTTATTATTACATACAACATAATTTTACCAATTAAAATTAGGATGGTTCCTCTAACATGGATTATATGTATTGGAGTAGGGATTATTTTATCTTCCAATCATATTAATATTTTTAATCCCATTCACATTACTATTTGTAGTTAACATTTAATCCTCTATTTGCATAGCTAATTCAGTTATGAGTTCCACATTTTCTTCTACTGAGCTCAACTTCTTAAAAATTGCTACAATTTGTGTTATCAAAATTTATAAAGCATCAACTTCATATAGTTCTGTTACTCTCTTAGGATTAACCTTATCAGCAATCCACTGAGGATTATTCCTATTTTTCTCATTAATTATTTTGGCTAGAACTTCATTGATTATTACTTACAACATAATTTTACCAATTAAAATTTGGATGGTTCCTCTAACATGGATTATATATATTGGAGTAGATATTATTTTATCTTCCAATCATATTAATATTTTCAATCCCTTTCACATTACTATTTTCAATTAACTTTTAATCCTCTAATTATATAGATAATTCAATTATGAATTCCACATTTTCTCCTACTGAGCTCAACTTCTTAAAAATTACTACAATTTGTGTTGTCAAAATTTATAAAGCAACAACTTCATATAGTTTAGTTACTCTCTTAGGATTTACCTTATCATCAATACACTTGAACTTATAAGTAGTCATTTCCTCAATTAATTCACATGTTCCTTAAATGGCTTAGACATTATTGATCCTCTAGATGCAATAATTATGATTACTCTAAGAGATCCTACTAATTCATTATAAAATATTTGAATAACTAACCAATCAGGTAAAATATGGTGAGGGAATCTCTAGAGCATTTCCTTAAATCTATCCCAACTCTCATCAATCGATTCTTCTTCAATGTAGGTAAAAGAAGTGATGTCATTTCTAAGTTTGGCAGTCTTTGAAGGTGGAAATACTTGGCAAGAAATTCATGAGATAATTCATTTCAAGTGGTTATAAAGCCTTTTTTTTAGAAGAAATGAAAATATCATTAAAAAAAGAAATTCCTAGATACAAACTTTTTAAACAAAAGGCAACCTATCACATTCCTCCTTCAAAAGAGCAACAAAGGAAGGAGCAATATTATTCTCCTTAAAAACATCCCAAATAAAGTTATACTCACAAGCTAAGTTAGCTCAATAATCCGCTAACTTATTACAATGCTGACTAACAAAATGGAATAAAACTTTATTGAAATCCTTCATGAATAATAGGTCTTCATTTATCTGTCCACCCATCATCTTCTCCGGTATACTATAAAATTTGTGGAGATAGTTGATGACATTTCTATTATCTCCCTCAATCACTATATCATCTTCCTTAAGCATCCACTCTTGTATAACATTTCTTAATGATTTGAAAGCTAATAACACCAACTGTGCACTATCCCAATGAGGATAACCAAAACCAAAGGACAATAAAAATCTTCATTTACTATCTCTAACCACTCCAACAATTCCATCTTTATTCAATTTACATAAGGAGCCAACAATATTTATTTTAAACCATTTGGGAGAAGGAGGGTGCCAAAAATTGAACAATCCAAAAGACTGATTAGCACCCAAGTGACCCAAGATGATTTTTTCTTTGTGTGAAATTGCCATAAAACTGATAACCCTCACCGCAATAATAACAGCACTATCTTCCACATCACCATGTTTCACTTTGTTTCTACTATTCCAGGAAAATAGCAGCAAAGTTAAGTACAACTTAGTAGTGATTGGGTTCCTTACCAAAGTCAATTTCATGCTCTTTATACAGTCCGAGAAGGAATAATAAACTGGCACCATAAAACCCCATGCATTCAACAAACTTATTACTTGAATAAGTTTCAAACAAGTTGCTGTATAATGATCGAAGTTTTCAACTTTATGGCAGCCTCTAGGACAAAGATTGGAATCAGCAAGTCTTCCATAAAAGAGAAAATAGGCAGGGGGAAATGCATTCCTGCATAACCGCCTAATAAATAATTCAACCCGAGGATTGAGTTTAAGATTATACACCCATGGATCATAGACTTCATCCAAATCTTCATTCATCCGAAGTTCTGAAGCCAGTGCTGAAATGGATTTGCCAGATAATTTGAACTATAGCTCCATTTTATCTTCATCCAAGTTATGAAGTATATCAACTTTGCTGATCACATTGACAACTTCTTCACCAAAGAACTTATTTAGTATAGGTAAATTCCAAGCTCCATTATCAATGAGAGAATCCAAAGTTTCATTCTCCTCCTCCCAATGTCATTTCTCTATGCTTTTATCAAGAATCCATACACCCTTTCGGATATCAATCAAAGAACCTGAAGCAATATTCCACATGATGATACCTTTGAGAGAATTCCAACCATCAATAACAATCTTCAATGTAGAAGAACAACTCTTATTCCCCTCATCCTTCACCAAAATTTCCCATATTTAGTCACAAAGTTCCTATTTAATAAAGAATTTGGATTATCTAATATACGCCAAGCAAACCTTGCCCTTAAAGGTCCCGCTTTAGAAACTGCAGAATATGGACCCAATCCACCATGTATCTTTGGTTTGTACAAGACATTCCAATCCATGTAGTGAAGACCACTAGAGCCATCATGCTAATTTCAAATATAATTCCTACAAATCTTATCAAACTCTTTCAAAATACTCAAGGGGGCCAATGAGTGAGAAGAGAGGAATTAGGGTAGATCAAGAAAAACCAATTTCACCAAGATTGTCCTTCCAGAAAGAGAGATAAATCTATTTCCCCAAGCATTGAGTCTTTTGAAGGCTTTATCCAAAAGATTTTGAAAATCATACTTCATCAATCTTCTTAAAGCAACCTTGATTCCCAAATACTTAATTTCATAAACAACCTTAATGTTTAACAACTTTAAGATTTGTTTCTTCTTACTTCTACCTATATTTTACCCATCAACATGGAAGACTTTTGAAGATTTACCACTTGTCCAGTCCACTTGCAATAATCTAGGATCGACCTCTTCATCTTTTTAATATTCTTTAACTTTGAATCTAAAAAAAGTAGAATATCATCAGTATACAAGAGATGAGAAGTTTTTTGTGCATTTGGTGAAATTTTGAGGCCTAGATCCACCATGCCTTTGCTTAAAAATGAATTAGAAAGTAATTGAGAACAAAAAATAAATTATAAAGGAGAAAGTGAACATCCTTGCCAAAATCCACATCTCCCCTTCTTCCACTTTGAGTTGCTTCCATTAATCGTAATCGAGAACCTAGGTTCCAACACACATTCCATCATCAAATTAGCAAATTTAGAAGGAAAACCCAAGATCTTCAACATTTGTCCCAAGGTTTCCCAACACATACTGTCATATGAATGTTCCATTGTTGATTGCTATTAGCCCATTTTTTGCTTTAGAACATTTGATTTTGTCACAAACTTCTTGAGCCAAGAGATGGTGATCTGAGATTGATTTTCCTTTCACAAAAGTCACCCGTTGTTCTAAGATTACCTTATGCACCACCAATAGCAACCTATTTAATAAGACTTTAGCTGCAATATTATTAATAGAGTTACACAAATTAATAGGTCGGTATCCAATTGGTGAAACTGGATCTTTGACCTTGGGAATCAAAACAACCAATGTCTCCTTCCATTCATTAATAAGAAGACCCATCGAGAGAAATCTATTGATAGCGTTACAAACATCTTCACCAATGATATTCCAATAAGATTCGAAGAAGGAATAAGTTATTCCATCACATCCTGGATCTTTGTTCTCTCCCATATTCCTGATGAAATCTAGATTTTTCAAAGTAGAGAAATCGGCATTAAACTTTTTTATCATGATCATCAAATACCTTCCAAGGAGAAGGCCAATTATACGTACAAAGAACACTCCCTTTCCCTCCATTTCTAATCGAAATATTTAAAAAAAAAAAACATCCTCTATCACTTCCGATTTTTCAACCATTTTTCCATTCATCCCTTTGACATGGTTAATCCAGTTACCACTCCTAGCATTTGCAAAAGCTTGAAAATATTTGGAGTAAGAGTCTCCTTCCTCAATCCACTTTACCTTAGCCCTTTGCTTCCACCAAGTATTCAACCTAGCAAGGTAGACTTTATGTTCCCCCACCTTAGCTCTCAAGAGCCTCAATTTTTCTTCACAAAATCCTCCTTCTATAGCCTCCTCTTCTTGTAGTTGCAACACCTCCATTTTCGACCCATCTTTAAAAATTAAAAAGATCTTCAATTTTTCCTTACTCCAAAAGAACAATTCTTTCATTGTTCTTTTGCATTTTCTATTTAAAATCTGCATATCATCTCCAACATAGGATTTTTTTTCCATAATCTCGAAACAATACTAGAGGAGGCTTGAAAAGAAACCCAAATATCTCCTAACTTCAAAAAACTCTTCTTCTTAAAAGCTGAGTAAAAAATCATTAAGATAATAGGGCAATGATCCGAAGCCACCCTATAAATATGCCTCTCAACCGCCACTTGGATTTCATCCAAAGAAACAGAATTACGCAAGCATCTATCTAACCTTTCCAATATCCTTCGCCCGCACTTTTAATATTACACCAAGTAAACCTTGGTCCAACTACTCCAATTTCATGAAAATCATTATGATTCATAAAGTTAATCATATCTTTAGAATCATGAGAAAAAACAAACTTCCTACCACCTCTTTTGTCCTCTTAAGCCAAAATACAATTAAAGTCACCACCAATTACAGAAGGAACATTTCTATGAGATACCTCTTGAAGACAGTCCCACAATTCCCTCCGATTATGAACCTCCTTACTATCATAAACAATGGAGATCATCCAAGTCCCTTTGTTAAACACGTTCAAGTCTCCAATTACACATTGATCGGAAGACGTCACAACATAGAAAGAAGCAAAACCAGATCTCCACATCACCATAATACCCCCTGACAATCCTTCAAATTGAAGTAAAAAGTAATCCCAATCAACTCCCATCATTTTTTGAAATTCCATTCTATCCAAGGAAGAGATTTTAGTCTCTACCAAGCCCACCAAAAAAAAAATCATTAAAGCCATTAAGAAACTCCTTTAATTAAAGAGAAGCTTTTCCCTTTTTTAGCCCCTCTAAAATTCCAAAAAGCAATAGCATCATTGATCCATCAAAGAGGAAGAGCCCCAACCTCTTACTTTAATATTCCCCTCAATATTTCTAACTCAGGAAGGATTTTAACTAGCCCAAGAGATCTCAATTCCATTGCTAATTTAACTTTAGCTCCATCAATATTGCCACCAACTTCCTTCTTCTCCAACACCCCTATAGTTCCATCTCCTGTTGGCTTGATAGTTTCCATAGAAACCCCATTCTCCAAAGATAAACTTGTATTTATGTCACTCTCAGACTTCTTACTAAGAGTCTCATGACAATTCACATTTTCCTCCACACAATCCTTCGAAGCTTGAAATTTATTAATCGCAATATTGATAGAAGAAAAGATGGGTGTATACTTTATTACCTTGTCAACACCTAGCTCTTCCAGCTCCTCAGTAGATGGGTTGCTGAACTCCAAAGGATTAACCAAACTTTCAGTACCCATCTCACTTTCCATAGAATCTCACCCTCTTCCACCAAGATAATGTCTTCAATAACCTTCTCTACTCCCACATTTATCACATTCTTCGTTACATTGATCCCCAAGCCAACAAAATTATCTGTCTCCATAACAACATGATTATATAAAGGCTTCTTGGAAAATATCTTTTGCATGGCCCTTTCTCTAGAGATACCATTATGAAGCCTCTTGTTTCTTTTGTAATTAACATGGACCCAACGTCCATAAGTTGTGTTTTCCTCCATATCATGTATCAAATAAACATAGTTGTCTTGAACTTGCTTGATAACACCATCCACCCTACTTTCCACCACCATTTGTTCCTTTTTATAA